GTCGGTTTTGATTGGATGGTGATAGGACCAAGACGACGCGAAAGCACATTTCAACCGACGTCCGCAACAACACGGCCAACGTCAAGGTGACGATCGTCGCGGAGATCGCACCGCTTTGCAAAGACGACCTCGTGGTCCTCGAGAAGCGCACAGCGCAGCAGTGCGGCATGGCGGTGGCCGTCGTCTCGCGCGTCACGACCCAGATCCATCTGCTCGACCCCCGCACGTGTCGCCGGTACCTAAATTTTTCCCTGTTCTCCAAGGATTTTCACTGAATTTTCCATGGTATTAGGTCGGAAGTCACCTCGGACAAGTACTGGAAGCACCCGTTCCAAGCTCTCGACACGGGCTCGTCGATGGTCGAGTTTATCGTGTTGGACGTCGAGCCGCTGGATGCGGCACGAAAAGATAAGCAAGACAGTGCCGATCTGCTCGCGGTGGTTGAAGTCGCGCGCGTATCCGACTTTGGCTTTAACGACACGACGTTCCACGTGACGAGCCACCTCGGCGGGTCGCTTGCAACCGGCGACACGGTCAAGGGCTACGACCTCACCACCTGCAACTTTGCGTCAATGCCACTCTACCACCTCAAGGACGAGCTGCCGGACATCATTCTTGTCCGCCGCGTGCTTCCCAAGAAGGAAAAGGAAGGCAAGCGTCAAGAGCGCAAGACACTGCGCGTGCAGACAAGCAAGGCGAGTGCGAAGGACCGCAAGCGCGAAGAAGACGAGTTTGAGGCCTTCATGGACGACTACGAGGAGAATCGCGCTGGTGAAGAAGGCATCAGTGCACCGTCGCTCGAGTTGGGATGTGACGACATCCATGTCGAAGACGCGCAGTAACGCATCATGAAATTACTCGATTTTGCCGTTACAACGGAAACTGTCAATCAGATCTGATATATGTGACGTGGCACACTTAGACGTCTAAGACGCGTTCCTGGGCATCGACGCACGACCATTGACATTAGCCAAAACAAAGCCGCGTCTAACATCATAAGGAGGTATTCCAAGGTCTAGACCACAGAGTGACAGCAATACATACAGTGTACGGCGGTTGAACACGGCAAAGTATCCCGTTGCAACAAGTCATTTGACAGACGAATGCAATGGTGATGTTAGTCAATCGATTTTAGTTTTCCAAGACGATGCGGAAGCGGGCGTCGCCGTGGTGCACTTTTTGCAGCGCGGCGGCAGCGTCGGCCATCGGCATCACTTGCACGAGCGCGCGCACCTTCTTGTCGACGGCAAATTGAAGCATGTCGTCAATCTCGTTGGGCGACCCGATCGCCGACCCGACCACGGTGATCTGGCGCATGATGATCGAGATCGCGTGGAACGAGATCGGCTTCTCGGGCACCGCCACGAGCACAAACTTACCGTTGGTCGCAACGAGGTTGAAGAGGTCGCCCCAGTTGGTGTCGGGGCCATTCGCCGTGCAGAGGACAATGTCAAAGTGGTGCTGGTACGCCGCCACGTCGGCCGCATTGGACATGTCGAGAAAGTGATGGGCGCCAAGCACGTCCTTGCAAAGGGCTTCCTTGCGGTTCGAGGACGAAATCGCCGTCACGTCAGCGCCGAGCGCGACCGCCCACTGCACGCCAAAATGGCCGAGACCGCCGATACCGAGAATGCCCACCTTTTTGCCAGGACCCGCGCCATGACGCTTGAGCGGCGCGTATGTCGTGATGCCACCGCAGAGCATCGGCGCCGCTTCTTCCGACGGGAGGGCGTCTGGGATCGGGAACACAAACGCGGCGTCGCAGCGGTAGTAGTCGGCGTACCCGCCCTGCGTGATGCTACCGTCTGGAAGCGCCCCGTTGTACGTGAGGAGAATCTTGGGGCACACCTGCTCTTCGTGCATGTTGCACTGGTGGCAGTCGAGGCAGCTCCCGCACTGCGCGCCGACACCGACGCGCGTCCCGATCGCGTACTTGATTG